TCTTTGACACAGGTTACGTTTTCTGAGAAACAGTCTGAGGTGGAGCTTAGCAAGCAATTTATTAGAGAATATTCTCGGGATCAGGGTCATAGAAGGGACGGGAAGGGAGTAGGGTGGAGGGAAAGTATAGTTGGGTTGTGATCTGCCAAGGAGTTCAGGACTTTATCCTACCTCAGCAAACGCTTCATGGACTCAATGCAGCCCAACAACATGGTTTTGTTCAGCCAGGGGCGGTAACTGTGGACCAAGAGCTCTCAGGTGGCGAAACTCCTGGTAACTAGGGGGTCTTCCATCATGCAGGAGGTGTAACATCCTTGTCCCTCTTCATATTCTGTTACGGAATCAGTTTGGCTGCATGTGAAGTTACAGCCATTGGGACTAGAGCTGAGTTCCAGATACAATCTTTATCACGAGCTGCTTGATATTGGAGAAGCCATTTAGTTTCTCCAGGTTCTTTTCCCTTCTTGCCCACCACTCTGATTTTTAGGGAGTTAATGTTTTTAGAAGACTAGCAAATAGTAGGCACTCAATCAATTTTGGCATCTTCTCACCCTTAATGGAACAGATTAAAGAGATCTATATAGAAAGTGTATTTTTCACCTGGATGTTTTTCTCCTTTCACATTCCTTATTCTACTTGCCATTTGGAGAAGTTTAACACTGTTAATTTAACATGTTACTGTTTATGCTTCCAAGGAAGAATTTTTATATGAAAAATTTCCAGCTAAGATAAAGTTCATTTAAGGAAGAAAAGAACTAAGAACTAAGAAAAGAACTAAGTCTAAGAAGTAATCCTGAAACCAGAGACTGAATGTTCCTCTTAACATCTAGGATAATTTGTAACTTTCCCTCCTAGCCTTAAGGGAAGGGTTCTGTCCTATCCCTCCATTCAAGTAATACAACTCTTCCCAGAGATTTTAGAATGGCAATAGCTGCCTGATTCCTCTCCTAGACCAGTGGTGGGTAAGTGGCGTTGTAACTGGTTGCTGGTTCCAGTCCTGGCTGTTCCACTTCTGATCACTGATAATGTATCTAAGAAAGCAGCAGAGGATGGCCCAAGTGCTTGGGCCCTTGAACCTACTTGGGAGACCCAGAAGAAGCTCCCGGCTTTGATCTGGTCCACCCCTAGCCATTGCAATAGTTTAGGGAATGAAGCAGCCAATGGAAGGTCTCTCTCCCACTCTCTCTATAACCCTGCCTTTCAAATAAATATATAAATCTTTCAAAAAATAATAATGGAGTGGTTTGTAAAGGGTAATTCCAGAGCATCACCAGGAACTTGTTCAGGGTTGCGTTCTCAGGTCTCAGCCCAGACCTATCAAACCAGAAGTTACAGAGGTGTGCCCCGAACTCAGGGCTTTAATAAGTCTGCCAGCTGACTTTGAAACACTAAACTTTGAGAACTATCAGACAGGGGTATCAGTCAGTGTCCTAATGGACACTTAAAACTTACATAAACTTATGTAAAAATTGATAGAATATACTCATAATGAATCTCCAGTCATTTCTCACCCAATTTCAACAATTGTCAGTTTTACAAAACACTTTCTTAGAAATTTAGATTGTAAAAATGGCATTGACTTTTTTGAGTGCTAGTTTGTAGAAATAGAGTGCACATGTTTTGGAACTTAATGGATTTAAAATATGTTTCAGTTCATTGCTTACACCACTTCTGTGATTTGGAACATTTTTAGATATTTTTTACGTAGTAGAATAAATTGCATTTTTATGCTATCTCATATGGTTGCCTGGGGTAACACATTCTCACTCTGAATTATAATTTAATAAGGAAATGCATTTTTTCTAAGTCAAACACTAACATTGTGGATGGAATTAGGATTTAAGGCCCAGGATTTACAATTACTATTTGCCTCTGTTCAATATTTTCTAATAAGCAGTTCAGGTGTGATTATAACCATTTACAGAGAAAAATATTGAGTCTGATTTACTCTCTAAAGCTAGAAATTTTCACTGTTAAGTTACATTCATTTTATACCTTTAGGTGATTAGCTATTAGAGATTACATTCCCTCATTATACTATTTGGAGACCTGTTTTCCTCAAAACCTAAGTACCTGCAAGCAGTTTTAAGCAGAAGGAAGGGAAACAGAAAGAGTTCTTTATGCCAGTGCAGACACCTGGCTTCAGAGTGCAACGATCAATGGAGAATCTTTGAAAGAACAGTAAAGTTTTAATTACAGCAATGGATTATCCACAGTAACTACTGGATCATGCCTGTATATTACATGAAAATACTCAGAAAAATGATGGGATTTTCCCTATATTGCCTGTGGAGGCAGAAGACAGAAAAAAGCCCCTGGGCTTGTTGCATTAAACTGCAAAAGGGAAAAGGGCTTGGAGAAGTTTCTGTGGACCAGGACTGAAACTGGCACCGATGGCTTCTGTTTCTAGATCCTGTTGGCCAGAGTTAAGTCATGTGGCCACCTGTGGCATTAACAAGTAGCACAGAAGGAAGAAGAATGGGTCCTCTGATGTGTTCCAGGAACCACTGGCCACTCAACCACGTGCACACTTCCTTCTCTCTGTCAGATGGTTCTGATGCTTTCCACTTATGGCTCCTTAGAGACTTTTCATGAGCAAGGTTGGTCATGGCCTGCTTAGAACAAAATTAAGATACTCATTCATCTTTATGTGATAAGTTCTTCATGGCTTTAGTGTTGAGGACTAGGAACGTATAATTCTTCTGAAAGAAATAGTTCCACTTAAGGAAGCAGTATAAAGAGCGTTAATTTTGGAGAACTTATGCAGCAGTTTAATATTTTCTTGTTAGAGTTCATCATTGCCAACAGATTTTGTTATTTCAAATAATTTTCATGATAACTTGTCTAAACTTCTCCAGGAAAATAAATGAAGATTAACCAAAATTTTGCTTTCTGTTATAGGTAATCTATGAGCCTTTGTTTTCCAAATGTCTCTCTCTTGAGGGCAAAGACAAGAATTCAAGCCGGCGCCGCGGCTCACTAGGCTAATCCTCCGCCTAGTGGCGCCGGCACACCAGGTTCTAGTCCCGGTGGGGGCGCCGGATTCTGTCCCGGTTGCCCCTCTTCCAGGCCAGCCCTCTGCTGTGGCCAGGGAGTGCAGTGGAGGATGGCCCAGGTGCTTGGGCCCTGCACCCCATGGGAGACCAGGAAAAGCACCTGGCTCCTGACTCCTGCCATCGGATCAGCGCGGTGCGCCGGCCGCAGCGCGCTGGCCGCGGCGGCCATTGGAGGGTGAACCAACGGCAAAGGAAGACCTTTCTCTCTGTCTCTCTCTCTCACTGTCCACTCTGCCCTCTGCCTGTCAAAAAAAAAAAAAAAAGACAAGAATTCTAAATTCTTTCCTTGTAAATGGGCAACACTAAATGATACACAGAGGCTGGCATTCAGAATAACAAAATCTGAATGTACCTCTGACATCCAGCTTCCAGTTTAGAAACATCACTTCCCTATGCTGTGAGTAATCCCAGTGCCAGTCTTACAGAGATGTTCCCAACATATCATCAAGAAGATTAATGGCAAAAATAATTTTATATATTTAACGATTCCTTATGAGTGCTATGGGGCATTTTTTCAAATTTTGAGTTACTGTTAAAGATTGATAACAGAAAAATGATACCCAGGTTAAACAGAGACCACTCACTTAGTCCCTGCTAGTTTCCGTCTTAACGCTGCTTTGCAATGACTTTGAAGGTGCCACGATATTGTGGAAGTGTTTGTTGTTTTTGCTTTGCCACCTGGGTGTGCTCCACCTTGAAGTCTGAATTTGCTTTATTTTCGTGGACAGAGGAATTAACTCCTGAGCCACTATCCCAGGGCTTCTCTGTGACGAAGAAGAGAAACGAGGTTCCATTTATGCTTTGAGAAATAGTAGGAATGTGAGCATTTTCACTTAAACCTGGAGACACAGGAGCAATGAAAAATAAAAAAAAAATCATTTGTCTGCAGTTATTAAGAAGAAATAAAACTACTTCATGCCTTATTGAGCATGGCTCTATCTACCTCCAGGGAGGAGAATTTAATGATTTTCCTTATGAGAACCATTTTTCTATCGATCCTTTACATAAACAAATATACATTATCTTGCCTTAGGGAAAAATCAGATGAGAGAAATGAAATGTCTTAATGGACTGATATTTGAAAAATGAATTTAAAATGTTCGAGTGCAACAACTTCTTTTTATGGCTTGTAAAATCCATAAGTAACCTTAAAAGTATCCCTGGCTAATACCTTGAAAACTTTCTGAGTTTATATTGATATGTTAAGTGAAAAATATCTCTACTAACAAGATTTAGAGAAAATTTTGCCTTTTTTAAAGGATAAAATTGAATTTTCTCAGGGAATTAATAACTGGCTTGTCTTAAGAATTTTGGCACCTGTTCACAGGAAGATTATAAGCCCAAACTTGAAAACAGCTGTAGAAATCGATACAATAAGAGACATATTTTATTTTTATTGTGGCCTTTCCTGCCTAATACCTTTAATGCTAATAACCAACTCTCTACTGAGATAACCAACCTGCTGTAGCTACTATAACTCAGTCAGCAACTGGCTCCTGAGTACCTACTATGTGCTGGCTCTGTGTCATCTACCACTGTACATAGTACTGAAGCTACCTGAGGGGACCAGTCTGACTCAAAGTTTAAAAATCCTCTTACAGTGCCTTCACGGGCCAAATCTTAAAGGTGTTTAATGTCAAAAAAAAAAAAAATGGTTCTAAGTGAAAGGAAATAAAACTGTGCCAAATTTTTTTTTTTTGACAGGCAGAGTGGACAGTGAGAGAGAGAGAGAGACAGAGAGACAGGTCTTCCTTTGCCGTTGGTTCACCCTCCAATGACCACTGCAGCCGGTGCACTGCGGCCGGCGTACCATGCTGATCCGATGGCAGGAGCCAGGTGCTTCTCCTGGTCTCCCATGGGGTGCAGGGCCCAAGCACTTGGGCCATCCTCCACTGTACTCCCTGGCCACAGCAGAGAGCTGGCCTGGAAGAGGGGCAACCGGGACAGAATTCGGCGCCCCGACCGGGACTAGAACCTGGTGTGCCGGCGCCACTAGGCGGAGGATTAGCCTAGTGAGCCGCAGCGCCGGCCTAACTGTGCCAAATTATTGCCCCAACTTTTCCTCTGGAGAAAGAAAAGAAAAAACTAGAAATATTGCAGAATTTAAAAAACTGCTGGGAAGATTGTGTCCTTTATCCAACTATGTTTTTGAAGCCAACATTATTAACCATCAACATCATTGTTGAAATAGCTTCCATAAAAGTTAATAGTTTAGAAATAATATCTGACAGTCAAATGTCACGATGTACAGAAGTGATGAGGACCTCTGAATCTTCTTTTCCAAGCTTGCCAAACCTTTCCTATTGAAAGGAAACATACAGAGATGCACTGCCACGCAGGTACATCATTTTCCCTTTCATCAAAACGTGTCATAAACTGAGATTCATTGAAATGTATACCTGGACGTCGGTGTCTCTGTGAATTATAAAGTTCTAAGGTTATTGCTTCAAAAAGAATGAAGAATGAGTTAATTCTGATCTTTGTAGCTGCAACTTTAATTTTATTTGATGACTCATTTCATCATGGAGGATCATATGGAGTATCATTACACATTTCAACATTCATAAATTATGTCTAACTTTGGATCACTCCCTAATATGTTCTTGATATTTTTAGACAGTTGCCTTGTGAAACCCAGCAGCAATACCAACAATGAGTCAAGGCCATGTATTATCAACCTTTGCCCTAACCCTGTCCTGACTGAGGTAAGAAGTCTCTACGAGACCTGAACCAATGCCCTCTCTCTGTAACTCCTACTTTCCTTCCGTATTCAATGGTCGTTAAGATGCCTCCTCCCACTGGTGAGAGCGATCAAGTGGTAGTATCTTGCCCTCATGATTCAGATTACTTACCTGTCTGTAGTGGTCCCATCTTTTTTTAACTCTCTGATATACTTTCCATAAAAATTGGGCCCCTGGTCAAACAGGAAAATATTCCTCTATGCAAGAGGATACTTTTAAAATCAAGGCTATGCAAGTTGAAATCTCAGCCTCAGTCAGTGCTCTGTGAGATGCACATGGAGAATATGTGCCAGTGGTACCCACTCAGCTCTGCTATTCTAATCTAAGGCCACCATGTATCCTACTATTTGTATTGCCTCATCTGATGGACACCTTGATTTTCCAAGCAAGGCTGTAATCAGTAGTTGGATACAGGTAGGAGGAATCTTCTAGTATGTATTTGCAAAAACTAATTTACATGGACCAGATAATATTTCAGTAAGAAAAACATGAATAATTTCAATAATTGAGACCCAAAGAGAAAATTTGCAACAAGGAAAAAAGCGTCTGACGTAAGAGTTGGGATCTGTAACAAAGTTGGCCTCTCACTGTCACCTGATGCTATTGATCCTCTGCTCTCTCTGAAACACCTTTGTGCTGATGTCGCAGGTCATCACTCTTGTATTTTCTCACTTTAATTGCTGCTTCTTATCACTTGTTCAGTCTTCCTTCTGTTCCTGATTCCTAAGACAGGATTCAGCCCTCAACTGTCTTGTTTTCTATATTTGCTCCCAAAGTGATCTCATTCTTCCCCAGTGGTTTTAAGTATCACATACATGCATAAACCCCAAATTTATATCTTTAACCCTACCTTTTATTTTTGTAAGTGTGATTTCTTTCAGTATAATTCATTCAAGGTCTACACATAGGTGTATAATGGACACTGTAAACTTAACATGTGCCAACGACTTTGCATTCTTTTTTTCCCCAAGTTTGCTTTTCTTCTGAGTTCTCTGTCATTAAGTGGAGTTCTGTTAAAAAGTAGGGGCAGAGTGGTGTAACTGATTACATCAGCTTCTTAATGACCTTTAGCTGAATGCTATGCTCATAACTAATGGCTACATCTGCTGGAAAAAAACCAAACACTTTTCAGCAATGTGATAAACCCTAAATCTTCCTAGTTTTCTACACAATCGATAGAACATCATGAAATTAATTCCATCGATCACTATTTTGTTCTAGTTTAGTCTGTGTTCTGCTTGACACATATGACCAGGTGATAAGTTGCAGCCAAGATAATTAAGAGACAAGTAATTTAAATTTTGAAGTGTACCCAGGCATTATAGATGGCTCCAGGGGAATGGTCTGAGCCGTTTTATTTTGTTGTTTGTTTCTCTCTTTTAATGTTTTCTATTTGTTCTCTCCCATCCTCACCTCCTCCCTTTTATTGAAGTTTTGTTTTTCTCCATGAACTTTTCTATTTAATGCAGATTTCAGAGTCAGAACCTGGGGAGTCTGAGTTCTTCTCAGCCCCAGCGGTATTATCCTCAGAACAAATCAACTTGCTATTATATGTAACAAGGTATGTATTTATTTTATCAGGTACCTATTACTTAGACTTGAGAGCTATCAATCTAAAAGTCCATAAAGGACATATTGACCAAGCATTTTTTTTGATCCTGTGTATGAATTTTTAGTTTTCTTTCCTCTACATGCTACTATCTTACAGCATGCTAAATAGATTTTTGGTCACTTTGTCTACCACATCAAAGTAATGACAAAGTAAGGACAAAAAGTAATGTAAACAATGTAGCTTCTTTCCTCAAAGGGCTTATGTCAGAGTAAAGGATTCTCAAAAGCAGTTGTGGCCAGCGCCATGGCTCATAGGCTAATCCTCCGCCTGTGGCGCTGGCACACCAGGTTCCAGTCCCGGTTGGGGCGCCGGATTCTGTCTCGGTTGCCCCTCTTCCAGTCCAGTTCTCTGCTGTGGCCCGGCAGTGCAGTGGAGGATGGCCCAAGTGCTTGGGCCCTGCACCCACATGGGAGACCAGAAGCACCTGGCTCCTGGCTTCAAATCAGCGCGGTGGGCCGGCCGCAGCACACTGGCCGCAGCGGCCATTGGAGGGTGAACCAATGGTAAAGGAAGACCTTTCTCTCTGTCTCTCTCTCTCACTCTGCCTGTCAAAAAAAAAAAAAAAAAAATTGTAACACATTTAATTTCTAAGAAGAAATTGGCTTTAATATTTCTTCAGATTGGCTCCATAGACCATCAAGAATCTTCTAATGTGTTATTTTAGAATCATTTATAAATAATAGTAAAGTCCTATTTGAGAACATTGAGTCTATGTTCCTAGAAGCACAAACGGCTCTAATTTATAAACATGATTTTGTTTAGTATTTTGATCAAGCTGCCTAAAGTGACAGTTTTTCTTTGAATGTGTAGAGAATCTTGCCTGGCTATTAATTTCTTAATGTCAAAATGACATGCAATAGCATGAAGTTTGCTGAACACTCAGATACAGTCATTTTCCTAGTTACAAAATTTCTAAAGTAATGGTTCACAATGAATTACTATTAATAGCATTAAACATAAGATGTTATAAATATTAATACCAAATTAATAATAAATAATATCAATGTTGAAACCATTAATTTATAAGAAAATATGAAAAGAGATGTTTTTAATAAAATATTTTTCAACTGAAAAATGTACAGGCATCTCACATAATGCTAGTTGTGTTTTATTGATTGAAACATGATCAAGCTGAAGAATTTTGTATCTTTTTCTGTCAGTCCCAAGTGTTGCTAATGCTATATTTATAAAGTAAAGTAATTTTTTGAAGATTTATTTATTTGTTTGAAAGGCAAAGTTAGAGCGCGAGAGGTCTTCTGTCCACTGGTTCACTCCCTAAATGGCCACAACAGCCAGGGTAGGGCCAGGCTGTAGCCATGGAGCTTCTTCTGGGTCTCCCCCCATGCTCCCCATGTGAGTGTGTTAGGTAAGAAGTCAGAAATGAGCTTAAGTGTGTGTGACAAAGGCCTAAGGCACTGACATCCAGGTCCAGCATCTGCATCTCAAAGTCATCCCAATAATCTTCCAGGTGCAGCCCAGTATCTGCGCTTCCGCGTCCTACCCCTTCCATCCTTCCCCCGTCCCATAGCTTCAGAGGGGAAACTCAGAAAGGAATTTTTAGTATTTACATCCAAAAAGTCCTTTGATCCAGGAGGAAAAGAGGTGGAAAGGCAAGACCCATCCCCTTAAAACCCCCCAGCCTCAACCGGACTGCCTCTCTGCTGAGCTGCTCGCCTGGCCTGCCCAGCTTTTTGGTGAAGACCTTCACTTTTGTTGGACATTGCCAACCTTTCAGCTTCTCTCTGCAAGGCCTTTAATTCCTTGTCTTTTGAAAAAAGACAAAGCGATAGCATTAGACTTTTCTGGGGGGTGGGTGGCAGAGACACTAGTGTTCCTCATGTGTTACAACAGCGTTTGTGTTAAACTCCTTGCAGTATGGGCTGCCAGTTAACGGAGGGATGAAGGGAAACTGGAGACTTATTCTATGTCATTGAAAATCCAGTGGACTCATCGTCTGGGATTGGAAGTCCAGGTGACTGATACCGGTGTTGCTGTCTATTCAGGTAAAATTTAGACCGATTTTTGCTTTTTTCCTCCATCTAACAAAATCTATGTGTCACACAACTCTGCAACTGTCAGTCTATGAACAAATGATTCTAAATGAAATAGGGTGGTTTTACAAACAATGAGAGTTCCAGAGGTACAAGTTAAGCTCAGATTATAGAGGAAGGAGTCTTATTGAAATGAAAGTATTTAAATATGTCAGAATTTTATGATTTTGCAGCATGATTTCCACTTTAAAGTGCTCAAAATTTATCTTAGGAATAAAAATGTATTGTATTTTGATTTCTGTGTGATTTATTCCTGAAATAATCATCTCAGATAACTCCTTTATGTTTCACATGAGTCATCCAAATGACGTTAGTGAAAATTAAATTACTCTAAAATGCAAATTTATTCAGGCAATTAATGAATGCATTCTGCTGTCTTTCATATTAAATGATGATACATTGAATGATAAATAGGGTGTTTTTCTCTTGAGATATTATAATTTTTTCCTACAGTAACATTTTTCAAAGTTTTTTTGTGGGAGTCTTGGCTTGAAGTGTCGCATACTCTCTTTCTACTTTGCAGATGCTAGCTACTTAATGTTTACCTTCATCTGTGGTCCAGACAGAATCTAAAGTACTCAATAAGTTTCAAGAATCTGTTAAATAGCCCCCTGTGACCTGCACAAATGTTCAAGTCTTGTTCACATGAAATGATGAGATAATTCTCAAAATTTAGAATAGTACTAAATCAGGTATTCTTTTTGAAAGTATTTTTATAAAAAATCTAGAATTTTTGATCTTTCAAGAGAAAGCAAAGAGCAGACTATTTGGAAATAACAATTTCTTTCCTTTCCTTTGCCATTTACAATGTTTGAAGGCTTTAACTCATTTTGGGGATGAGGCCCTTCTAAGCAGCGTCTAATGGCTGCTCCTACTTTTACTTCTCACTCAGTTTACTACCCTGATTATCAAGTTCTGAATATCAAGATTCTAGTCTGTAGTTCCTTGGCTCTGAGATACAGTTTAATGAATTATAATGTTTTAAAAATAACCTAGGGGAGATGAATGTGATATTAATAATGAAGAAAAATGATACATTATTGAAAAATATAAACACTACATGTTTTTTGCAGCTGCTATACCATTCTTTTCAACCCTATAGGAATAATCCCTGATAGAATAAATTAACTAATGTGCATTTCTGTTTAAAACATAATTATTTTTCTATGTTAAGGAAAACTCATGTGAAAAATATATATTTGACACTTGAGGGCTGAGGGCTTCCTGCTAGCAACACTCCTAGAAGTTGGTGAAGTAAATATTCTTTTTGACAAGGGAGAGGGAGAGGCAGATGGGGAGACAGAGAGAGGGAGAGAGAGAGAGAGAGAGAGAGAGAGAGAAGATTGTAGTCACAGGTTTACTCCCCAAAGGCCCTGAAAGTCCCCAAAGTTCCAGAAGCCTGGAAGTCGGTATCTCAGTGTGGATTTCCCACATACTTGGCAGGGACCCAAGGACTTAGCCCCTCAGGATGTGCAGTAGCCTGAAGCTGAACTGGAAGTGACAGGGCTGGGACTCAAACCAGACACTACAATATGGGGTGCAAGTGTACCACGCAGCGACTTGCATGCTGCACCACTCACCTGCCCCATAATTTATTCTTGAAGGTGGATAGCATTGTGGTACTACACAATTGTCTAACAGACTTAACTCTTAATTCATTAATATGGCTCACAACCCCACTTAGTTTTAACCTAGTTTCCCTGATTTACTTTCTTTTTTTTTTTTTTTTTAATTTTTTGACAGGCAGAGTGGACAGTGAGAGAGAGAGAGAGAGAGAGAAAGGTCTTCCTTTGCCGTTGGTTCACCCTCCAATGGCCGCTGCACCGCGCTGATCCGATGCAGGAGCAGGAGCCAGTGCTTCTCTGTCTCCATGGGTGCAAGGCCCAGCACCTGGACATCTCCACTGCACTCCCTGGCCACAGCAGAGAGCTGGCCTGGAAGAGGGGCAACCGGGACAGAATCCGGCGCCCCGACTGGGACTAGAACCCGGTGTGCCGGCGCCGCAAGGCGGAGGATTAGCCTAGTGAGCCGCGGCGCCGGCCTCAGATTTACTTTCTACTGTTATCCTCTTTATACCATGGATACAAATCGACTCCCCTCCTTTTCCAGACCTCTGTGCTGTTGAAAATGCTAACCTAAGTGCACTCTGTTCCCAACATTCACGACTTTACTCTCTTTGATGTGTGCTACAAACACTGTTAGCTAAAGTTAATGTTTCTTCTGTTTTTATAAGGGAATAGTCCGAAAAGTTCATGGAAAATGCATATTCTCTTTCAATTCAATTTTTCCACAAAATCTTGATGTACCCTCATACAATTGGCATCTGTCTCACATTACTATTACCTATTGACTTATGAACTCCTCAAAGGAACACAGCTGATTTCATTTATGTTGCACGTAATTTTCATTTTTTTTAACTTTTATTTAATGAATATAAATTTCCAAAGTACAGCTTATGGATTACAATAGCTCCCCCCCATAACTTCCCTCCCACACGTAATTTTCTTAACATAGAACCAGACAAGTAGCAAGGGTCCTATACACTTGGAGTGACCAAATGAATAATAAATGAGAAATAATTTGCAAAGCTAAAGAAGAGGCAGATGCCATTTATTCCTTTTATGGGAACTGTCCTAATAAACATGCCCAGTGTATTAAGTGCAGAAATATAATAGACCATATTTATCCTAACCCTGGTATGTGTCAGAAACTGCTTGGATTTGTGGAAAATACAAATTTATGAGAGACAGGTTTCCTTTCTTCGAGGTCCCTGTCAACTATATGTAGAGATCGGAAAATGAAAAATGCAAAAATTAAATGGCATAACATAAAATAGCATAAAATACAAAAATACATGAGACATCAGGGATAGCTCATCTGTTACAATGGGATGTGTGACAAAAAGACTTTGATAGTGTTTGGTTCAAAATTTAGATCCCATCTTCACGTGGAACAAAGTTTGACATATTCATCAATTTCCCTGGTTAGTTCACATACCCTATTCAGAAGTTTAAGCTTTAGTACTAATAGTGTTATATGTAATCTAATAGCATTTATTGAACAATTTTATTTACATGTCAAATTTAATTAATTGACTAACACATTCATATGGTTAACAAATAGTTTGATGAGTGCCAGCCACTAATCGATAACTTCAGCTGACCAGCATTTGACAGTTCCAGCACAATTGTCCGCACATGGCTCCAACGGCCAGCCCACCACGGGTCAGCAGCAGCCAGCCTCTTCACCACACCCTGCCTGGCCAGCATGACAACTCCTACTCTGATTGTCTTTCTGACCTCTTGTGCTGACATACCCTGGGGTGTGCCACGCTGTACCCTCTCCATCCTGCAGAGATTGTCACACCTCACCTGCTCAGCCAGATTCATATCCTTCTGGTGGTTCTTGGTTGAAGCCATCGATGCATGGACATCACATGGACATCACATGGGGACTGTAAAAGTGAACAGCTCCCTGCCTCTGAACAATGCTCTGGCGTTTTAGTACTGCAGAATGGCACACTGTGGGGACACCATGAACATTTGTCAGATACACAGGCAAGCATTCACAGGAGTGAGGAAAAGACCGCGGCAGTCATTCCCCTGCCCAGGATCCTTTCGCATCAGTCTCTGGTCTCTCGTTCTGATCTAGTACTGCATTGACAAAGAAAACAGGAGAAAAAGTTAAAAACAAGAAAACAAAAAATAAAAGAACAAACCCCAGAGGACCTGTGAGTAATGCCGCTGTAGTCATGACAGCCTAATTTTTTCTTTAACTTTGATTTTGCTCGGGGAACTTTCAGCGTTACTCATCTTTAATTACCTTAATTTCATGCTTAACCCAGGCTCAGAAGAGATCTGTTTGTAATTTCAGATGAGAGAAAATTAAATTCCTCTTAGCAAAGTCAAATTTTAAAATTCAAGAGGAAGTACAGTGTTCCAGATCACGAAAATATCAACCCTTTACATTTTAAGGTAATTTGGTGGTAATGAAGTATTAAACAGCTCAAATTTTGTTTTAGAAACAAAATAAATTAAAAACAAAATTTAAGGGGGGGGAGTTAAGCCAGAATTTATTTGTCTCTGGGAGATATTCAAGGGATGCTAATATTTTTATTTAATTTTTTTATATTTTCCAAATGTTCAAAACATAACAAGAATTATTTTATAAAGAGACAACAATTCAAATCAATGAATGGGGCTAAGTACACTGGGAAGTGGGTAACTATAAGGCTTGCTAAAGGTTATTTGAGGAACAAGGGGAGCACTGACAGGCACACTGCGGGTGTTGACATTCATCAGGTCTGCAAGCCCTTCTTTTCTGTTTCTGTCATTTATTTGGTGCTCGTGAAACCAATGGCTCAAAGACCAAAAAATGAACTCCTGGAGGCTTTCCTACATTTCAGTTGGCCAATCTGATTTTCTGAGTTTGAGAAATGAAGTGATGAGAAAAAGGAAATAGGCAAAAGGTTCCCAATGCTGTGCATTATGAATGATGCTGCTTAGAAGTTTCAATGAGAGACAAATGCCAAGATTATATTTTGCATTTTTAATACACTTGCTATATTTGTTGAAAAAAGCTAGTATAAACAGATATATCTCCCTAATGAGGTGCTATAATGGATACTCCTCTTTCCTGGGAAAAATCCAAAAGTTTTTAAAGAATACAGAACATGTAACTGAATGCAGAGCCATTTGTTTGCAAAACATAGCTGAGTTCCTCTTTTATATCTGAAATCTGGGTCTGATGAGGACTATGACAGCAGATTAAAGATTCTCTCTGTGTGTGTGTAGCTGTAACCCTGATTTCCAAACAAATAAATAAATCTTTTTAAAAAGTAATAATAGGACTGTGCTATTGGTGGGTAACATAACAAGTAGAAGACCCAGCGGCCCTAATCCATTCGAAGAAGGCACTGTAGGGTTCAGGCCTGTATTTCAGAACCAGACACTGTGGACACAACAATCTTCATTTTGGGAGACTGTACTCAAACAGTGACATCCTGCTTGGGATATGTCTGCATTCCACTCTTATGCTATGCATTTTGCCCATAATCGTCACCCATGTTCTCTTTTTTTTTTTTTTTTTCTGAACTACACCACTTAATTTCAAATGATCAAAACTCCTTTTTACTCTCTTTAAATACTCTTGTGAAAAGACACTTTTTGGAAAACTATGAATCTTTACCTCAAAACAAAACAAAAAATGAGTTGTAAGCTACAAAAGCTGGAAGCTACCATCCAAGGAAGCCATTCAGAAGGTAAATTCCATTGTGACAGTTGGAAAAGCAAGGAAGCGCGCTCACTGTACTTGGCCATGTTGATGTTGGTGTCAGACTACAGGGGAGAGGCTTACGGGTGAAAGAGATTACAGAGGCGCAGATATGCTGACTCACTGATGTTCAGATGAAAGCTTCCGACTTGTGCACAGCCAGCACCGCGCGAAGAAGCAGCGAGAGGTATGGGGATTCTTTGTTCTTTCTGCCTTTTCTATGTTCCCGGCAACCATCTGTGGTGAAGTGGTGGTTAATTCCACTTGACATGGACATCACAGCACTCTGAGAATTATAACATGATACACTCCAGGTAAAATGACAAAATAACTATTTGGGAAGAACTAGTACACAAGTCAATGCCAGGACTGAAATAAAATTCAAGATATTGGGGCATTTCTAATCTAGACCTTCCTTTCTTCCCATCTACCAAGAAAGGTGAAGTCCTTGCCCTGGGCTACTCCTGCAGAGACCACAGAAAGCCCTGGAGTGCAAAACCAGCAAGTCTGAAAGACTTGGAAGCTGAGGAATCCTCTGCTGGAGGAAAGTGGCAGTGGTGATGTGGGTAGAGAGGGAAGACACTGCTTGTAGAAGAGTGCACCTCAATGCAAGAAAAAGGCCAGCATGGGAAGCCAGACCCAGAAGCAGCATCTGGGGTTCTTTACTCCAGGTCATGTGCTGTTATTGGTGTATGAATAGGTCACACGCAGGCTGCAGGAGAGGCTGAATGTGCGCAAAGCCACCAAAGTGCAGCCTCTCAACGTGATGATGCCTAGTGCTTTTGGAGCTGCAGGTCTTGTGATCTTGGGCTGAGCAGGAGGCTAAATGACTCTATAATATGTAGGAGTGGGATGTTTCTCTTGTGGGAACTGTCACTGGTTTGCTGTTTGTTTGATACATAAGGGTATATTTTTCTCAACTCCAAGATTCTGGAACATTCAAACAGGCCATGATTTCTTTTGCCAGTTTTGGCATTCTTAGATTTCATTTAATCTTTAATTTGGTGAATCAGACATTGATAATATATCAGGGTGGTAGTAATGCAAACCCTCTATACTATACAATACTTGGTAGAAAATAGTTGAGTACAGAAATATTTGTTCTCCATCTAAAAGATCATCTAAGGTGTTCAAAAATTTCCAACACAAAGAAATAGTAAACACTTGAAGAGTTACAATTGCTGGCTATCTTGATTTAATTGTTACACATTGTATGCATGTATCAAATCATCACACTGTACCCTATAAATATGTATAAATATTATGTGTCAGTTCAAAATTTTAAAAATCCCATGAGTTGTTTAAACATTAAACAAAGGTGATTCAGTTGAGCAATTTGTTTTAAATGGTACTCATTAAACTTTGTTGTACAGAGATTTACTAGATAAAATATAAAACTTTTCAAAATGGTCAGGAATGCTTTAGGGTGTCTAGATGAATCTATAATATATGTAGAAGTGAGGAAATATCTTTATAATCACATTTCTGGAACGTAGACAGAAATGCTTACAACCCAATCTTCCAAAACATAATCCTAGTAA